GCCTTACAGAGACTGATTGTTTTTTAATTGCATTTTCAGGGCATTCTTATAGCAAACATGTCGAAAGAAAGCTGACTTTGCTCGGTAAGTCCTCGACATTCCTGTTGCATGTACCACATGCCCACTTGCGAACTGGCTTACTGAGTTCTTTGTAAGCAGTTACTGTGAGGTCTGTGAATGTTACGCGGAACCAACGTCTGCATCTGTCACATCATATAATGCAGATAACGTCAAAACGACACCATGTTGCCTGCGCGTGGTCTTAGTGATCATGGCGAAATATGAGCTGTTAACCGAAATGAAGTAGAAGTTTTCAACAGTTAAAGAGGTAATATATTCAAAACGGATGGTATAACAAGACCTCACTCATCTCACAGTTTGGGCTATGGAAGACCAAGTGAATCAGCAGCTCTTGTCAGTTGCATTTCAAGCGACAGCCGACTTCTTATTAAGACCTTAAACATCAAGACTAAATCTAGCCTCTGAACGTGAAAAACTGTAAAGACTGGCTAGTAAGCTGATGCGAAAACACGGGTAACTATTATTTAAAATAAAACTCAAAAAGAAAAATAGTATATTTAGGGTTGAGCTCGGTATAGATTTTTGAATCAGAAATAGTGCACAGATGATTATCATGTATTTAATAGTGGCTGGCTTGAAGAGGTATTTCTCGAAGTTCTAATGGGGATCCGTGACCAGTTTAGTTCCAGCGTGTCAGATGTAAGGAAGTTGTCCGCGGAAGAAAATAGAAGATGGACAAGGAATAATATGGACTGATTGACATTAAGTCCTCTGGATCTAGGCTCAGTGATACATCCTGTGTAGCGTTATCTTGCATGTAAGATGGAAAACATGTATTATCCACGAACGCTTGAAATGTAAAAATATCCAACTTTTTAATTACTTTGTTAAACTTACCAGAGAAACAAACAAATAACGCCTTGTCTTCTTATAACAATATAAAGTGGATGTCATCTAAAATCGGCTAACTATAGCAATTCTTATCCGTTGGTCATTTCAAGGATTAATTAATCTTTCGGTTCTTTAGATTCTGATACATAGGGATCTGAAGTAACTAACCAGAAGCTGACGATACTCGTCCTGTCTTTGTTTCACGACTATAGGAAAACTCGTGGCTGTTCAGCCCTGTACTCTTGATTCTGTTTCGTGACAAATCAAGTGTGCACTCAAGATTTGATCAATCCTGAAAAATCTGTATTTTGGGTGCTCAGAGATATTTTGTAACACCAAGATATCTAGTTGGAATCAATTACATATTGCTCATTGCTGACACAGTACGATAATCGTTTGCTGGAGAGATTGTACCGCTTTATTGGCGCTTCTCCAAGTACCCTCAGAAGTTATGGTATCGGTATTTGTACTACTGTAATAATGGACCCTATCCCATAGTTTTATATTTATCATGATGTGACTACCTAATCTATAAGATTTTAAGTGGAATTGACACTGTTGCCTATTCTTATTAATCGTGTTGTGACGATCAGTAATACGATGTTTAGCACCTCTGAAGAACACGTTTGGGCTGAAGATGGAATGATAAACTTAATGCGGATTTGGATAAGTCACATAGTATGACCATACCTGCAAGGTTGAGTCATGTCATACAAACCAATTGTTCCCATAAATTACCAAACAAGCAGTTATTTCTGTTAGGGAAAATAGAGGTTTTAAACTGCTGCTAGTAAGTCTGCATTACACGCGTTAATTTAAAGTACAAGGTGCTATCTTGACCTTGTTGTTCATGCTGTGGAACTAGTGTGTTCTTATGATTTAAGTCACTGTACATTTATTTTTCTTGTTATTCAGTTTCATAAACATTATTCAAGTTTTGCAAAGCCTTTTTAAGAGTGTGGTGACTCTTGGTAGTTCGTACGTAAACAGTTCAGATTTTTAGTTAACATTTATAGTGTGAAAAACTAATTGTTTGTGTTGATCTTTTTGGCCGTATTCGGTATATATCTAGCCTCTGTCGGGTCATTGTGACGTAGTTACAGACACTTTCTGTAGTAGATCCCAAAGCGGATCACCCGTCTGGATCACTTGTACTCAATGAATATTGTGTTGTGAAATCGCCTGTTTTATCATGAGTCATTGTAAAGTAGCTATAAAAAGTATTATATCCAGATAAGGCAGTAGCACCACTGTCAGATTTCTCCTTCATCTGCAGGTGGGTAATTTGTGGATATCCAACATTCGAAGCTGTTCATTTGTTAAATAAATAAACACAAGTCCTGTGAACTCTTACCAATAGACTGTAGACATGCATGGAGTTACATTCGAGACGAAAATTTATGACCTCCAAAAGGAGCTTTTATTTTGGTCATACCGGTATTAAGTAAAGTTTGGCGAATAGGTTTCTATCCAACTTGCTATCCGAAATATGGTTTAGGACAAATAACTCTCATATCACAGTACCACTCGAAATTAAGATTTTTATTTCCCCTACTACATGACAAACTGGTGGTGATATTAACTGTCATACACATATCGATTATGTGTGTTGGAGATATTTGTATAATTCTCAAACGCGTTGGTTTGATTATAACAAGTTGATTGTTTCATCGAAAAATAAGAAGTACATAATGTAATTTCTAGAATACAGAAGATTTACAATGGTTTCCACACAAATATTAGCGAGACTAATTTATATGCAACAACGCTAAAGTCACCTAAAGACAACTCACATACTTACGTCTGTTACCCCTCGTGAAGGAGCATGGGCCGCCCACCAGCATTATCCATCCAACTATGTCCTGGGCAATCCTTTCCAATTGCTATTAATCCTTTTCACGTCTGATTCTAATCCCGGACGCAATGTGGCCTTTATCTTTTCCGTTTCCCTACATGATTCCATGTTAGCGCTTGCTTCGTGATTCAGTTTGGCGATTTTCATAATATACGTACTATCCACTTCCAACATCTTTTCCTGATTTCATCTTCGTTTAGAAGCTTGTTTGTTCCCTCCCGCAGAAGGTTGTTGCTGACGGTATCTGGTCATTGGACATCGAGTATCTTACGTAGACAATTGTTTAGAAATACTCGCACTACTTGATGATGGTTGTGGTAGTTCCCCAAGTTTCAGCTCCGTACATTAGGACTGTCTTGACGTTCGTATTGAAGATTCTAACTTTGGTATTGGTTGAAAGTAGTTTTGCTTCAGTTTGGGCACCTGAGCAGTATCACAGCCCTCACACAAATCAAAGGAGATTTGTGCGGCGCATATGTATCTGGTGCTTTCTTGTACCAATATTTGTGTTTAAATAAATAAATAATGTTTTGAGTTCCATATGCTCTTCAACTGTAGGAATGCTGTCCTTGCTTTGCCAATCATCACCTTTACATTTTCATCGAATCCTCCTTGTTCATCGATGATGTTGCCCAGGTACGTGAATGTTTCCATTCCTTCTACAGTTTCTCCATCGAGTGTGATTAGGTTGGTGATCTCCATGTTGTATTTCAGGAGATTGCTTTTCCCCTTGTGTGTTTTGAGGCCTATTAATGCACAAGCTTCTGCATTGGTTGTCTTGACCTGCTATGTTGCTGAGTATGTAATAGAAGGGCCAAGTAAACTGCAAAGTCCAAATCGTCTAGCTGCATCCAACCTGTCCATTGTATTCCGTGCTTACTCTCAGATGTGGAGGTCTTCCTAATCCAATCAACTACTAAAAGAAAGAGAATAGGGGAGAGTAAGAAGCCTTGTCTTGACTTCGAATGCGTTTGTCAGCTGTCCTCCATGCACGACTTTTCAGAATTGTCCGTCGTATAAATTCCGGATGATTTTTTCAGGTACACCATAGTGTTGAAGAAGGTTCCACAGAGTTCTATCCACACTGTCAAATGCTCCCCATAGTCAGAGAAGTTGATTTGTAGTGAAGAATTTCATTCAATCGATTATTCAACAATAATCCGTAGTGTCACGATTTAATCTGTGGACGACTGGTCCTCACGCAATCTGGTCTGTTGATCTCGAAGCTAAGGGTCCACTAAATATTTCATCCTGTATAGCAACACTGTTGAAAACGTTTCGCGGTACCGATAGTAGTGTGACGCCTCTGTAGTTTTCACACACTCAGATCTTCTTTCTTTGGTATCTTGGTGAGATATCTTTCTTTACAGTCTGCTAGTGACATTTGTTCTTCCTTCCAAATCTTCCTGAATAGAATGTGAAGCATGCTTACAGTTACTTCTATGTCTGATTTCAGTGCTTCAGGCGGTATGTTGTTTGGTTCTGTTGATTCTTACTCTTGATTTGTCTGATGGCCATGCTGAGTTCTTCGATTGTTGGTGAAGTGACATCTATAGGAAAATCTGTGTGTGCTGCCTTCATGTCCCGTGGGTTCAGTGGGGCTGGTCTATTCAAGAGTTCTTTTGAGCGTCCTATCCACCTTTTCCTCTGTTCTTGAATCTCAGTGATTGGCTTTCTTTTTCCTTGGCTAGTCTCTCTGGTTTACTACATTTTCGTGCCAGCTTCTTCGTTGTATCACACAGTTGTTTAGTATTTCCTTCTCTTGCAGCTTTACCTGCTGTCATTGATATGTCTTCCACTTATTTCTGCATACCGGTTCCACTGCTCTTCTTCATTCTCTTGCTTGTTTCTGTTTATTCGATCTGTACCTTGACTTTCTCTGTTCTCGTTCGGCTATTGTTAATTGCTGTCTTCTTGTTCTTCCTCTCTTGAATATTGTCCAGGGTTTCGATAGAGATGATAGTGACGCTTCTTTAGGCCCACCACCTCCTGACACGTTGAAGTTAGTGTTTTTTGACCTCTTTTCAGTTTGCCTCCATAATAGCTTCTTCTCCTTTAAGTAGATCTTGTGAGTCTTGGCACTTGTTGTTGAGTTTTTTTTGAATTGGTTGAGTTTGTCACTATGTCGAAGAAAGGCTGTATTAAACCTTTTTATTACCATTTCTGCAGTTTTCCAATGCTTCTCTAGCCTTAGTGTTATCTTGGCAACCACCAGATGGTGATCTGAAGCTATATCAGCTCCTCTTCTGCTTCTCACGTCTTCCACTGACCTTCTGAATTTTTTAGTGATGCAAATATGATAGATGTGGTTCTGTGTAGTGTGATTTGGGGAAACCCATGTAGCTTTGTATATGGGTTTGTGGAGGAATATTGTGCCGCCTATAACCATTTCGTTAGATATACATAAACTTGCAAATATCTCGCCATTCTCATTCCTTTTTGCCAGTCCATGTCGTCCCATGATATCTTCATAATCGTTGTCGTCCATTTCGACATTCGAATGTACGTCTCCCATCAGGATAGTCAGGTTTTTTCCTGAGCACTTCGCTATGATCGATTGCAGCCTCTCGTACAACTGATCTTTAATGACGTCATCGCTATCATTGGTGGGCGTATAACATTCGTTGTGATTCCCTCCTTTGTTTTAAAGGATACTTTAGTGATCCTGGGTCCATGACATTCCCATTCTATAAGTGCTTTTCATGCTTCTTTGGACATCATCAGAGCGGCTCCTTGCGTGTGTGAAGCGTTTTCATCTTCATGATCAGAGTACATCATCCCTCCTGAATCTATCCTTTTCTGTCCAGCCTGGTTTCATCGAGTTTCACTTATTTCGAGCACTACCAAGCTGTATCACCTCATTTCCGTAGTTATTTGATTGGTCCTCTTAGTCTCCCACATTGCCTGAAAATTCCATGTATTTATTTTCCTCGGGTTGTTAGGTGGGGCATCGGCTTCGTGATTAACGAAGAATCGTGGCTTTCACCATGAGGCCTCATAATTCTTCTGAATGAAGATTTAAATTGTCTTTTCCGGGATAGGTAGGTTTATCACATCGCTAAACCTTCCTCGTTTACCCAGAATCGGGACCGGATGTAGTCCCAGAAGAGCTGCCGTCGGGTAAAACATGATTTCAATTAGTTTAAGGTTTTCGGGCTAGAATTTAGGGTTAAAAGTTAAAGGAAGTGTTTTTATTAAAAACTGACTATTTCTAATGCCAAAATGCCATCTAACTATATGATGAATGGATTTCATACCGAAATCTAAGACTTACTACCCTTAATTTCACTGGTTTGTCCATTAATTAAGTCTCGTCCAAATATTACTAAGATTAATCAGTAATTACGTGTTGCTTGTTCGTTCGTTTGAAGAAAGTTGTCAAGTGAGTCTTGTTATCATTCACAAAATGTGTGACATATTTATAACCAACAGATGCATAAACGGTTCAAAACATGCATATGCATTCGGATCGTTATATTATGACATTCATGAATGCTTGAAATAGTTTCTGCTCTGTGGGGAAGAAATATCTGGAATCAATTATTGATAGTGGGATCCCAGAATTAGAGGTCTGCATTTGAATAAATAAGTTTCAATACCTCAAAGCGTAAGTTTATAAGCTTTGTACAATCGACTTGTGCAACAATATATCATTGCTTTTTGGGAAATATTTAACACTAAACTTGTATGATCAATTTTGAGATCACCGAAGGTTGGTAGTATATTATACTTTTACCAAGTAAATCGTGGTAAGACTGTACTAACTTACTCTGACTACAAAAAGATGCGAATTTTCTATCATAAACTTGTTTCAAACTGAAATTTTAACAACTGGGATTTCTTTATTTTCGATTTCATATAATGCTTTGGTCCTCTGCATCACGGTTTGGGGTATTTTTCAGTCAATTTTTTCACCCTTCTAGTCATGGTTTCTCATGAAAATTCAAACATAAAGTCAATGCTTACATGATAAATGGCTAGTCATACCTAGCTCCTAATTTCACTCCATTTTTTCTGCTAGTGCTACTTTAATCTTTTAGATTTGCACCTAGTCTCATCAGTTTTTTATTCGATACTGTTGAAACGCAGTTTATTCACTTCTGTATATGGCTGTCTATCACCACTTGATCGTATGTTCACTCATTTAACTTTGTGTTTAGAAATAAATTCCATTATTTACGACTAAATGTCTTTTTCAATGTTTTCCCGATGGAATTGTATGTCTTCTACCTGTAGCATTAGTGATTGTTTAGAACTTATTGTTGACTGTTTAACCCCACCTATAAAGCGGATATTTGGTAGAAAAACTGTCTATAACCCCTTCTACACACGCTTTGGAAAACGAGACGTCTCTAGATTTTAAACAGACACTTGGTTCATACTAGAGCTTAGTTAAGTAATGTAGCTCAGTAGAGGACGTGTCCATGTACTCAATTTTTATGCAAATAAGTAATAGTCGCTATGTTGTGTCTAGAAGTACAGTAAAAATTTCCTGAAAACATTATTGTGAATAGCATGAAAATGACTTACTATTTCAGATGTCTGTTGAGTTCCACTAAATTTATTTAGTTATTACTCAATAAACAGTACGGCGAATTGTTTACCTGTTATATGTGAGATTGCCCAGATGCTCAATGTGAAGTAGTTGCGGTGGGATCTGAACTTGCAGTCTAATTAGGAGCCGAGTGTAAATGATTTCTTCATTTAATACTGTCCTTAGTATGGTACGGATTTTTAAAGTAGCTATCAAATCACTACTTCACATGGGGACTAATTAAAACATTCTTATAGAAAATACAATTTTTTAAATTTATTAATGAAAGCAAATAAATCGATCGAAATACGTGTAATTAAAGTTCATTACTTTTGAAGTATTCTTGAGATTATAACTTACAAACTTGAAGTCTACTTGCACAGTTTTGATGAACTGGCTAAAGTAAGTAATTATAATTAATCACGACAATATAGCAGTTGCAGAATATCCTCACAAATAGAGCGTTAACGTTTTCTCAGTCCATTGTGTACTTTGATGTGTGTAGATTGTTTAACACCTGTAGTAATAAACACTCAGTACTTTTTCGTTCTCATTCTGTGATGGTATGATGAATACTTTTTGTAACATTGGTGTTGGTTTCCAGGTCATATAAAGTGAAACGTTGCATATCGTAAGAACAAACAATCTGGCTGGTATCGGTGGTTAGTTGAAAAGTTATCAATCGAATGGTTATTATGAAATATTCTAATTTTAATTTGGCCATTGTTTTCATAACAAGCTACCTTGTATAAAACTAAACAGGAAGAAAGACTCAAAGTGGTTCCATTCTCAAGAGGTAAAATTACAAAAACATTCATGTTCTGAGTTTCTTACCAGTTGATTGATAAACAAAAATAGATACAATGGTTTAGCAATGTGTTTGATATTAACGAATTCCATATAATTTATGTCACTTAAAGAATCTAAATGTAAGCATTGGAGCCATGTGATCAAACCATATCTTGTGTTTAATGTAAATTTACTGTCTCTAAGGTTCAGTACTAGTATTTATTCACGTGAAATATTTTTCAGGCTTATAAAACCAATCATCAAAGTTGGATCTCTTATATTTGATCAACATCTGACGGAACAATTAATCACACCCAAATCATGTTCCTTCGGTCCATCATTAATAGTTTTCCGAAAAAGTGGATCATTCAAAAGAGATATCTTTCGAAGATTCAAATTCCTGAATATCTTCTAGATAGAACGGTAAAACCAGATAAAGTTTTAAGTCGCCTTACACCTGAGGATACAGAAAGGTTGGAATTTTGTATGGCAGAATATCAAAATATGCTTGAAAAAGGTGCTGATGTTCCTAAGTCTTTAAACAAAAGGAATGTTCTGGACCTCTTGTGCTGCACCAGTCATACATCTCGAGTAAAATTCCTGAGGTTTCTGTTCAAGTGTGAGAAGCGCGAAGAAAATGCTCTTATGAAAAAGTTAGAAAAGGTAAATATATAGCATGCCACTAAAGTTTGTTCTGTTGAATCTTTTTATCTGTTTGGCATTTTCGTTTTTAAATATGCCTAATACTATTCAGTGAAGTAGTGGATCTTACTTTTATTTATTTCTATAACATTTCGATCAACGTATTAGGATTGTTTGTGATCATATCGTATGCCATGATGTTGATCAGAAAGACTTGGTGTGGATAAAATGTATTTCGATCGTGTAATAGGAATCCGTTTTCCCTTTGAGGTTAGGATTTTTACCATTTATTGTCATGCTAATACTAACGCCATTACCGTACGCAATGTAAAATGTGATATATATACGTCGGTTTATGTCGCCACACCACACAAACATGGCGAGATAAGATTATTCCAAGACGAATCCTAGGGTAGTAGCAGTGGTAACCGCATCATTAGTAGTAAAACATAGATTACGCATAGAAAACGGAGGTATAAAGAGATTTCAGGACTCTGGTTTTATAAGAAGATAAAGATTGAATGCATGTCCGCTATTACAGACGATGACCCAGTCTCAGATCAGACATTAGAAACTATTGGTGGAACGTTCATTATAAACATCATTCTGGAGACATGTTCACATCGTCTGTCTTTTCAAAGATTAATCTTCTACTAGGAAATTCACTTGTTGACTTAAAATACGGGAATGACTTAGTCCTGTTTGGTTAAGGTGCTGACAAAATGAAGAGTCTTCTCATAGTCCTAAGCGGAAATGCTAGTATGTTTAGGATGCGTTTCTCTTCATCTCAATGCAAAATTTTGCTTCTGGACTAGTCTGAATTATTTATATAGAGTTAAGTGGTTGAGAGTATCGAAAGCTTCACTTATCTTGGAAGTCTCATCATTACTTATAGCTTAATGTCTGGCAAAATCTCGTCACCGATTCAGAAAGCTCGACTAACTTCTGTCGACTTGCGTCATTTGTGGTGAATGCAAGATATCCTCAAGGTTCTACCACGCCAGACAGGTCGGTTGAAGAGCGGTGACACTAAAAGCAGCAAACTCAAAGTGCTGGGGCGAAGTCGTACTGCTGACTGTACGGAAGTGTGACAGCAGTAAAGGGTTTCCCTCAAACAACCAGTATAACAGCGATGCTGCCTTCCCACAAGGAGGGTTGGTGTTAGAAAAGTTCGACCCTAGAAATACACACCTCGCCTTATCCCACTGATATCCGTCTCCGGCAGTAAGGTCCCAACCAATACGGAGCTAACTCAGAAATGCCCACAAACAGATCATGTGTGACGGGCCCAAGCGCTTTCTCCTTGGGCACTACGGTTACGCTTTCGGGTCAGTAAGACCAACTCTAACCTAATTTCCTTTTCAGGTACCTATACAAAATCCCTTCCACGGGGTAGGCAGCACTCAAGACCACTGTATTCGTAATCAGTTCCCTTCTTCAATTCCTATTAGTCCTCCTACCACCAAACTTCCTCTTCATGTGTCACCATTGCTAACGATTCTAGTGAGCGAAATGCAATCCCAGGTCTACTGAAGCCTCGCTACAAACTACATATTGGAGCCTTCCACGTACGTGGTCTATGTCAAATCAGCCAGCAGGTCTCCTGGAATACATTTTTAGACTCCGACCATGCTCTGATACGAGCATGTATTTGCTTGCGTCTTACTGGACGCGGAAAAGCCACATTAAGAAGACCCATTAGAGTTGAACTCAGCAACGAGGAAGCCAAAGGTAAATTCCATGGACAACTAAAGTCACCAGAATTAGAAAGTCAAGTGTAAGCGAAACAATCCCGGAAGAAGACGAAACCCTTATCTGCTCTCAGCCCAGACACTTAGAACGATGGGCGGAACACTTTAGAGCACAGTTCAGCTGGCCTTCAGCTATTCTAGAGTTACCCACTATTCCCAAACAGCCTGAATGGTACATTGAAGTAGGTCCCCCGACTCTAGCTGAAGTTCATAAGGCCATAGCTAATCTGAAACGAGGAAGAGCAGATGTATTGACTCCAGAGGTCTTTAAGCATAGTGGTTCAGTTTTGGCGATCAGGTTGACTAATATTTTAGCTAAAATCTGGGAACTGGATGCAATCGTATCTGACTGGTCACAAACATTGATCATCCCATCCTGTTTGCTGAAGACGCTGATAAAATGCAGTCTTTTCGTAGCACTGAGCAACAATGGCAGGATATTTGGGACGCGTTTCTCCCCCTCTAAATGTAAATTGTTACTTCAGGACTGGTCTGCGTCAACAACTGAAGTAAGGATAGGGAGTGAAGTAATCGAACTCGTCGAGAAGTTGACTTGGAAGTGTGGTCAGCTCTAATGGTTTGGTGTTTGTCGAAATTTCAACACGAATTCAGAAAGCTCGTTTGGCTTCTGCCAACTTACATCACCTATGATGAAGACGAGATATCCGTCTATCGACTAAGCGACGAGTATACTGCGCGGCAGTGCGTTCTATTCTAATACACGACTGTGAAACGTGGCCATTAGGAGTAGAAGATACTCGTAAGTTACTAGTATTTGACCACAGATGCCTTAGAAATATTGCTCACATCTGCTGGGATAACCGGATAAGTAATAGTGAGGTTAGACAACGGGTATTAAGGAATGATTGTAAATCAGTTGATGAGGTCATGAGTCTCCATCGACTGAGATGATTGGACAACGTGTTACGCATTCCCAACCACCGATTACCACGACGCGCAATGCTGACTAGTGTTGGAGATGGTTGGACGAAAGTTAGGGGCGGTCAAACCAAAACGTGGCATCATAGCATGAAGTCACTAACATCTAGTCGGAGCCATGCTGGTAGATGCAAACTATTTGGTTGGTGTCCGCGTGACTATCGTAACCAATGGTTGGAGACTGGGTTACATGGCTGAGAATCTATCACAATGACGTAGGTGTATACACTCTTTGCCTTCCCTTAAACTATGAGGTTAAAGTTATCTTATACTTCTCTTTTTATGAACTAATTCTTTCTCCTGCATTACATTTCTACATGAAAGCTTTAATATATATTACTACCATTGAAGTGACTACTTTTATGAATTTGGTGTTCATCTTGTTGTGCTGATGAGCATGGCAACTTGGACCAATGCATATATATGCCTGGTCCTGTGTCAGTCACAACGTAGAACTTCGTACGTACGTACATCAGTTCGAGTTGCCATACCACATTAGCACAGAGATGCAGTTGTCGATTCGAATCCCATAGTGGTAGACGTAGTAAGAGTATAATCAGAAATCCAAAAGATTAGGGTTTGAAGAAATTATTGAAGGAGTATAGTACAGTGAAATAAATTTGGAAAGAGAAAAAGATAAAGACATGAAGAATTCAGAAGATTAGAATTTGGTAGAACACAAAGAGTGGATGCATCTTCGCCATTGCAAACGATTTTGAGCCATGTCATTCAAGGTCTCTAACCATCGGTTGCTGTCATCTCGCGAATCCCAACCAGGTAGTCTACACCTACCAACATGGCCCAGTCCACTTGTCAGTGACTTCATTGATTTGTGCCACGTTTTGGTCTGGCCGCCCCTAGCTTTCTTCCAACCTACTCCTACACCATGAAACATTGCATGTCGGGGCAGTCGGTGGTCGGGCATACGTAACACATGTCCCAGCCATCTCAACTGATGAAGTTTCACTACTTCATCAATCGATTTGCCATCCCTACCTAGCACTCGTTTCCTAACAACTGCATTACTTACCCGGTGGTCCCAGGATATACGAGCAATGCTTCGAAGACACCTATGATCGAACACTAGTAGCCTACGAATATCCTCTACTCTTATTGGCCATGTTTCACTGCCATAAAGTAGGACGGAGCGAACTGCTGCACAGTAAACCCGTCCTTTGGTTGCAAGACGGATATCTCGCCTACGCCATAAATGACGCAAGTTGGCGAAAGCTAGACGAGCCTTCTGTATCCGTGCTGAGATTTCGTCACATACCAGACCACAAGGGCTGATAAGATTCCCAAGATAAGTGAAGTGGTCTACACGCTCAACTACTTCACTCCCTATCATTAGTTCAGGTGTCGCTGCAACCCAATCCTGAAGTAACATTTTGCACTTCGAGGGAGAGAATCGCATCCCGAACATGCCTGCATAGTTGCTTATAGTGGTCAGAAGACTCTGAATTTTGTCAGCGTCTTCACCAAATAAAACTATGTCGTCGGCGTATTCTAAGTCAACAAGTGAATCTCCCGGTAAAAATTCAACTCCTGGAGGTTTAGCTGATGAAAGTGCTATCTCTAAAAGTATGTCAATGACAAAGTTAAACAAGAATGGGGAGAGTGGACAGCCCTGACGAACGCCACTTGTGGTAATCAGTTCTGATGACAGTTCGCCATAGGCTCTAACTCGACCAGTTGTGTTCGAGTAGAGAGCCTTTATGAGGTTAATGTACTTCTTTGGTACTCCTTTCAGTGACAAACATTGCCATAGAACCTCACGATCAACGGAGTCAAATGCCGCCTTAAGGTCAAGAAATACTACTATTGTGGGACGTCTGAATTTGTGTCTATGTTCTAGAACCTGACGTAGGGTGAATATCTGGTCTATGCAACCACGTCCAGGTCGAAAACCAGCTTGGTTTTCTCTAGTCTGCTCTTCACGAGCTTTGGTTAGGCGACCTAGTATTATTGAAGCTAATATTTTAGACACTATATTAGTCAAACTGATCCCTCTGTGATTGTCATAAGAGGACTTTTGTCCTTTCTTATAGACTGGCACAATCAGTGATTGGGACCAGTCAGATGGAATTACGTCCAGTTCCCAGATTCTACCTAAGACCTCAGTCAGTCTCACTGCTAGTACTGGACCACCATCCTTAAAAATCTCAGGGGTCAACCTGTCAGGGCCCGCTGCTCTCCCTCGCTTCAGATTTCCTATAGCTTTTTCAACCTCACAGAGGATTGGAGGACCTACATCAATTTGCCATTCAGGACGACTGGGGATCGTGGGTAATTGAAGTGTGGCTGAAGGCCAGTTGAACTGATCCCTAAAGTGTTCTGCCCATCGATCCAATCTCCTGGATTGAGAATGAATAATATGCCCATCTTTATCTGAGATGGTTTCACTGATATTCGGGTTCCTAATACCGGTTTCTTTAACGAGTCTGAATAGCTGCCTACTGTTACCTATTGCCGCTGCCTTTTCCATCTCTCTTGCTTTCGCTACCCACCACTGTTCACGATCATTACGTAGACTTCTTATAAGCCTGCGCTTAAGTTGACTCCGCTCTTCGTTATGCTCAGAGCCAGGTGGGATGAGTTTACGAGCATCTATCAGTGCGGTAGATGCTGCTGAGATCCATTGTTTCTCCCTAACGTTATGGTTTACCTTACTAGCGGATATCACTGCTGTTTCCACAGCTTTTCGGATGTCATTCCACGCTGCCTCGGGGTGGACACAACTTACATGGCTGCCTAACTGTTTTCCTAGTTGTTCCTGAAATATATTCTTAGCTTGTCTATCATTAAGTAGAACCCTTAGAGGCTTCCCTGCAGTGTCTTTCCTACGACCAGTAAGACGCAAACAGATACGTGCTCGCACTAGAGCATGATCTGAATCTAAACATGTGCCCCAGAATGAGCGACAGTCTTCTATCGAGCCCCTCCATCGGTGGCTGATAGCGATGTGATCTAATTGGGTCCAACGTTGGGACGAATTCGGGGGTCGCCATGTCAAAAGATGTTTTTCCTTATGCTTAAAGTTAGTATTTGCAAGAAATAGGCGGTTATCTGAGCATAGCTGCAACAGACGGTCGCCATTATCTGTTCTTTTCGCCATGACACCATAAGATCCACTCAGGTGTCTTTCCCTTTCACTTAGTTTACCTACTTGAGCATTAAAGTCACCTGCTACTATTACTACATCAGAACGCCTAGCTTCTCGGAGAAGGTCAGAAAGTTTCCTGTAGAACTCATCTTTTATATCGTCTGAGCTGCAGTCAGTGGGAGAGTAGGCAGAGATGACGAAGAGGCAACGACGAGTTTCCCTATCTTTCCGGGTCCTTACTGATCCGTTTAGTCGGACAGCGCATAGACGACTGTCTACTGGGATCCAGTCTAAAAGAGCTAGTTCTGCCCTAGGACTTAATGCTATACCTACTCCAGCGAGGCCACGGGAAGCAGCATCAGGGCTTCCAGATACACGAAGCGTGTATCGAGATGAAACTTTATTTTGATTAGGTGCGGTTAAATGAATGACACTACTCGGATCTTGTATGCGCGTTTCGGAGATGCAGCACACATCGATGGTGTAAGATTCCAGAGTCCTAGCTAAGGAAGCCTGTTGTCCTATTTGGCACAGTGTTCGGACATTAAAAGTTCCTATATGTAGTTTAGAGCGTGGTTTCAGGAGACCAGGAATAACGTTCTGTGTACTCGAATCGTTTGCCCTAGCGATGTGAGGTGATAAAAGGACGTGGGAAGGGTTAGTCGTGGAGATAACAGAGTTATTAGGTGTAGGAAGGATTTGAAAGCGACCAACTTGGTCTTGTGTGCAGTTAAGGGTATGAGGGCTAGTATCACTTCCCGGCTGCCCACACCGTGGAAGGGTATTTCTTGAGGGACCTGAAAAAGAAGTTGGATTAGTGTTGGTCTTAACGACCTGGGAGCGTGACCACAGTGCCCAAGGGACAACTGCTTGAGGTCGGTCACACACGACCTTTTTGTGGGTAGTTTTTGTGTTAGCTCCGTTCTTCAAGGGACCTTACCGCCGGAGACGGATAGCCATGGGATAAGGCGAGGTGTGCATTTTTAGGGTCGACCTTTTCTAACCCCACCCCTCCTTGTGGGAAGGCAGCATCGCTGTCATGCTGGTTGTCTGAAGGAAACACCTTACTGCTTTCACACCTCTGTACAGTCAGCAGTACGACTTCGCCTTCGGACCTTGGGATTGCTGCTTTTAGTCTCACCGCTTTTCAACCGACCTGTCTGGCATGGTAGGACCTTGAGGAACGATTGTTCCAGCCAGCATAGCTCGATTGGATCATCACGATAGGCAAGCCCGACCACCACGTCAAGGTAGCAGCAACGGTCGGGGTGGTCCTGTGTTGTTGTAGTTGACTTATCGACTACTTTTATAATCCAGTTACCGAAATTTCCCTGATTTAATAAACTCTGACTCCAAACAAATCTCTGTAACTATCATGTTTAATATGATACTGTGTGTGTTAAAATAAGAAATTGTGTGAAATTAGATACCTTTATTGATAATATTCACATACTCTATATTGAATCTTATCTTGACACTGTTTCTATTAATTTTCCACTCTTTACATGTATTCTTTAGTAATATTACTGATTGTAGAGAGGAATGTTTGAACGTTTTAGAAGGAAGGTTAAATTTAACAGACATGTTTTGTTCTTACCATACTAGGTAACTGTTTGCCCTGAAAGAAAACCTGGATCTTCTGACCGTATTCTTCGAGTAATTGATGATAAGTGTTCCCGTTCACATTGGGATTTTTGGCAAGCTTCTGAAATACGATGTCCCGATTCAGCTCAGCCTTTATTATTTGATTTCTCACATGAATCTGAGATGAGATTAGTTGATCTAAAGTCTCTCTCTAATCAAATGACGTATGTGCTGAACAGAAATCGTATAATGAGACCCCATCCATTCCATATGGTGCTTTGTGGTTTAAAACAAGGAACGAATCAGTTTGCTTACATGGAAGAAGCTTTTGGTGTGACTGCGAAGGTTTGTTTATTGAATTTCTAAGTTATAAGTAATCATCGTAAAAAATTGTTTACGATATTAGTGAGTAGTAGTCAATACGACTTCTTATTATTAGGCTGTTTAAGGTTACATTTGCGTTCTCTAATACTTCGCTAGAAAGGACGATGTAATATAACCTAATGGTTTTCGCTAGTAGTTCTGGTAATTGGGATTTTGAAATTATAAGACAGTGATTTTCAAATGTCTTGAATTTTTAATCAACCTAAAAATATAGGACTTCAAAAATAGTAGAAGGATATCAATACTGTGTATTCGCTCATTTTGTCTTCATAAAGTCTGCGTATATCCCTATTTGTCTATTACCATGTGCCTTTCTCCATCAATATTGCCCTTGTGAATCTCCTGTTGTTTCTTTTAGTCATCTGTAGAAAATACAAAGCATAGAATCTTTTAAGAGATTTATTAGCGATATAACATTTCTCCACCATTTCATTTCCAAAAATAACCCGTAATCTGGACGAATTTCACTATCTTAAAGTTTGTCTTTTTTCCAACCAGTCAAATTAAGTTTTGACCATTAATGAGTAGTACATTTACGAATTTTCAGTAAAGGTTAGTCATTTAGCAACTAAAGGTAAACATCAAAATCCAGATGCATATTCTTTGTTCAATATGCACATCTTTAGTCTTTTAAATAACTTTGAAACCAATCTGATGATGACTACTTAGGATACTTTAACAGCAATCATAAGACATAACTAAATACGAATTTATGTTTAGCGATGATATGTTTCGCTTTACTCTTATATATGACATTGATGTATCATTGCAATTTCGCATTTTTATTTTATCTTGGATTATCAGTGAATGGGTCATGGCCATTGTAACATTAAGTCTATTGAAGACTAGTATATTTAAATACGGTTCGTATTTCAGTCAGTAATAAAACTAAAATTACTTTGCCAGACTTTCAGTGATCTTTGTTTTTTTCATACGTAACAGCACATCGTGTGAAATAGTCGAGAACACCATATACCCTGATCGTAATTTAAATTATTGAAGAAGTATGAGATAGTATGAACTGCGTCAGCAATTTCGACTGACTGTAACAATAATGTTAAACGTTTTCATGGACTTAATCGTCTCTGGTGCCTAAAAATTTTTATCACTATGAGTTAATGATATTTTGCTTCCAAACACGGTAGTATCTGTAATTTTTTTGTATTTAGTGATAGTATCATGTAAATTCAAAAGTGAGACATTATCTTTAAATAGAACGAAGATATCACTAAGATAATCTAAAAACACTGATTTAAACAGCTTGACACTTACGTATTATACGCTACATCTGTTCATTATTTCGCGACTTAGGATGAGTAGTATTTCTGAACTAGTTTTTGTAAGTGCATCCTGACTCTGGATGGTTTCATGAAGTTGATAAAGACGAAATTTCGAATATGTTTCGAAATCTCAGTTATTGGTAATCTCGTCACGATTTCTGAAAATCTACATTAACAGTCCTGTCTATTTTCTATCCATACAATCTTCTTGTGTTAACCAAATATCATCTAACTTTCGAATTGTGTTAACTAGCCACTCGATTAATTGACATAGTTTTAAGATGATTATTGATATTTTCCGTTCTATATTTGATCAACGAGCTCTCTAAATTTCAGTCTTATGTGTCTCATTCTTTTGATGTACAAATATATAAAGCTATCAACTATCAAAAGTTTGAATGAGTTACCGTGGACAATCACTCCCAATCATTTTTCCCATGAATATCCTATTCATGATTTAGAACAGCCTGTTATATTGTTGTCTCCAAATGCACGTCAAACATTTGAAGCTGGTGAATATGACCATAATGCCGCTTATGTCATTGGGGCAATAGTGGATAAAGCTGTTCGGAGACCAATTTCTTCTGCAATAGCCCGACAGTTACGTAAGTATTAACTGGTTTGCATTTGGTAATTATCAAGAAAAGACCAAAGTTTATTGCATAAGACTGAGTATTAACTTAGTGGACTCATATTCTTAGCCCTTGTTCTTATATTTTTCGTATCGTGTTAATAAGAAAATGAAAAACCGCAGTGGTCAAGATAGGTAGGTAGAGTCCCCTTATCCTTGTTTTTCAGTAGCATCCAGATAAATCAGAACTTGATCCCATCGAAAAGGATATTCTTGTGTCAGTGTCTAACAGATTAAGCGATTAGCAATTCCAAGTTCCCTTCTAATTTGTTTTTCTAGGTTTCGATTTATACCATTTTTTCCTCCTTAAATTTGCTTATAATTTGTTATATACATGATAATTTATTCTCAACCCTAATCTTAAATTTAGAATCTCTGACTTATATTCTGAAATCGTTTTTTTATTTTGTTCCTTGTAATCTGTAGATTCTTATTTCTTTTGGTTTGGATTAGAGAGTTATACGGTTGCTTTGTAGCTGCTGTTTTCCTCGCTGCTCACAGTAGTGTATATAACATCGATATCTGTGTTATTTCGGAAGCATTTGCAAATAATGAACTATTAAATTTCTATCCTTTGGTTGTTATAACTTTTTTCGTAGTAGAAACGTATTACATATTCTGGTACTGTGTCGATCATTCAAAACCCAGTCTTTTTTTAAACAAGGTCATCCTTTTAAAATTTACATTATTATTTACAGGCCAAGTTAAGAACTACTTCGTACCATAAATTGTATGTGCAAAATGATTACTGTGATCTTAATAAGCTAAACCCAAGATCCTACTTAGTTTATCTAACCAAGTGTTTCCATCCTCGTGTAGTAATTTGAAATTTCCCTGGTATACTAAGGCAATAGATAAATGTAGATTATTCAATTACTGTTTGATACAATGTGGGTGCAAAGACAACGTAACTGTCAAGAACACACACTATATAATTCCATGCCCCGGAACAAAACCCATCTTTCCACCAAACTACAATATTACTTCGTCAGTGGTTTTGAAACGCAAAAGAAACTAGTAAAAAGTACCAGCTATCAAATATTTTTGGAAATAAAAGCAATTTCTTGACTTGTCATTTAACTGAAGTTTAATTGTCCCAATGTATCATGCAGTCACTCCCCTGTTAGCATCCTCAAGCCTGTTGACTTGTATTCATATCTTTAAAGATTTACTTGAGAAACGTTGCATACGAAATGTGTGGATATTTTTACTTTTATGATAGAAATAAGTTCTCTGAATAGCGGAAGAATAGTTTTTTTTCCGCTTTTTTTATGGAATCGTATAATCTCGATTTCACTTGTATAGTTTATCTTCCCATATACAATAAGCATTGGGTTATTATTTACATTTAATCTTTTTTCTGTAACCATTTTCTGTCCCTATACTACTGTAGTTGTGGTCATTCCTTCTTTATGTTCCCCTTTGTGAACTTTTTTATTATTATGGTAGTTTACGCCCACGATGTTGCTATGTTCTTAGATAGCTTGTTTATATTTTTATTGAGGAGTATTATATTAATTACATGTAGTGATTTTGTTCTTTTCAATTTTATAATAATGAGCTTTATGCATTTTCGTTCTTTTTCCTAACACCTGATGTCTTCAAGGCATAAAATGTGTCAGTTTGCCTTTGGATCGCTATATGAGATGGGGAAGTGGCAAAAGCAAAACCCTATCCATAAATTGCATTCATGCGATAATGTGTGCAGCCAAGGAAACTAATGGAGACTGGAAGAGGGCCTTACTTGAAAATATTCCTTCACGATTCTATGCTCTTCCATCAAAAGAATCTGTTGTATATAAAAGTACATAAAGCCGCGTTTGTCTTAACGTATACTTTTTGATAATACATAATCATCCCTAATATGTAAGTAGTCCTATTCATACTACTTCAATGGATGTAAACATAGCTCTAATATTGCACAAACATACGTCAATTATTCACGATATTCTTAAATTACATATATAACAATTTGTTTATTATGTACACAATACCAAAAACACTTTCATTTCATCAACTAACATCCCAATCTTTGGTTTTTTTTTTGCAAATGAATGCCAAATCGGATAGAAAATTTATATAGTGTGTGGTACATGTTCAAGCGTTGTAAATTGCAATAGGTGTCGCGCAATCTATGCAATTGGTCAACTTGTTTGGATGCATCAACCTACCATAAAATGTTATAGATTTAGTTGTCGTCTCTACGGTTTGTTTCAAGGCTATTCCTTAACATCGATTTGGAATCTTCGTAACTAAAGATTGTTAGTTATGTCGATTGAACGGTATTTGTTAATAAAGACCCCTTTAATAATCGTTTGACAACCCAGAGTAGGAAATTCATATTATTAACATGTATTATACTTGTCGACTTGATGTTATAAAACCGTCGCTCAAACTACGAAATTAATTTCGTAAAACCAAGAGAAAGTGAAGCTTTACTCGACTCATATTTGGTAGACTACCTGGAATATTAAGTGGTTGGTTTTAAAATTTAACGCATCGAGATATTTTCGATAACCCTTACAAGCTAATGGTAGTTTGGTTATAATTTTTTATTTGACAGAACACGCCCAGAACCGTAATGGCCTTAAGCTGTTCTCCAGCCACTGTATTAGTACTAAAGAGTACGATTAATGTATGAGATAAATTGTGGCACCCTTGGAACTTTGGTAATGTAAGTTTTCTACGCCAAGACACCCACAAATTAGGACTGTTGTTGGGATGAACACACTTGTTTGCTACATTTGCTCTGTCTTCAAAATAATTGCATTTCTCACATTTTTAGATTTTAGTACAAAGTCTGTCCGTGTAGTTGTGTGTGATTGATATGGAGCCATTCATTTCAAACTGAAGTCGATTATTGTTCTCTGATAATATATTATCTTACTAACTTATCGTCTAAGACTCCTTATGCAATAGTATGACTTGTTTAACGTTCTGCTACAGTCTGTGATTATATCAGTATGAAGTTTATACACTGTTCTTGACTACTTGATTGAACCAATTGAAGTTGCCGTCACACAAATGTACCAGTTTGTAACACTAGTAACGTGTACACACTCATTAGCTAAAACAGTTAGTGTTAATTTAATCCCACTCTATCAATATTAATCCATTAAATCAATGATAAGAATGTTAATTTAACCAAATTCAAGTTTTTAGCGTTTCACTGAGAATTAAGCCTTGACTGTCTGCCCAACTGATAAGTCTGAACCTATATACTATCGACGGTTGAAACATTACGTGGATCTATTCATCAACGAAAGCAAGAGTTTTATTTGTTCGACCGAATAAGTATTACTTTTAAAAACTATTATTAACCCATTACTTTCAACAAGCAACTTCTGGGGGGGGGCATACAGTATTTTTTTTAAAATTCAATGACCAGTAATTTATCACAGTTATATATGCTCATTATAGTTGTCTTATTTTGTTGAAACCACAGAGCAGACTATAGTAGAATGTTATTATACTATCCACAGTCAAATGTGTAGAATTACATCGATATTTCCAAACATAAATTCGTAAAGTTGTAGAAACAAGGAAGCATTACGGACGTCACTATGAACAAGACAACAAGTCACTTGGCTAAATGTTATCCGTTCATCCTATACAAGTAATTGGTTGATGTACTGCGTCCTAAATGCAAATCGAATGTAACATCTAAGTTGGTGGCGAACGTTATAGTAGAACACAAGCATTTAGATGAGGCGATACAATATGTGAACATTGTTTCCATTAATAAACGTTTGTTTAAATATGTAAACTTAGAACGGCTGAGACAAGATAATATACGATGGTGAAAGTAAAGTGACTAATAGGAAATTTAAATGTTACCTTGGGAAAGGAAATGATGGAGAGTCATTTGTCACCAAAAAGTAATCGGATCATGATAACTGATTACATATTAATCCGTGATAGACTTAATGGTCGTTTTAAAATCCGGTCTCCAGAACAGACATTTTATTGAAATTACGCGAAATTTCCAGGAAAAATGAAGTATTTAACATACTAAGCTGACTGAATTTTTCAGTCCAGGTTAAGTTTAGAGATATAATCGTTTAGCAAAAAACGCCTATGAAGATTTACACGAGCGTAAATCAGTTGGAATCCACTTTCCCAGTTAACATCTTATTTAGCTTTGAAAGTGTATCTCTACACATATGAATTTCGCTCAAAAGAGTATCTATGTTTTCGAGTTGTTCCATGAGTTCTACTATGAGCCCCTGTATTATTTCGTCATCGACGTTTTCTTGTTTTTGACTTCGCATTTCTAAATCAGCAAAAAACGTAGATACCTAGGAACAAGTTACTGTCAAGATTACATTGGTTATTACTTTATCGATCACAAAGTGCTTACACTCAGCCATCTCTCTTCGATATGTATCGCGACATCTTTGTATTCCTTCTATTGCATCGTTTGCCTTGTCCTCAATCAACTTCCTAAGTCCCTTTGTATCCATTTCCGCATTCTCAATAGACATTGCGCAGTAAGACGTATTCTGGTTGAAATGTTTCCTTTTTAATTATTTAAAACAAGCATTGGTATTCTATGGAGGAAATCATTTCAAAAACGGTTACCGCCAAAGTTGAAGCGAAAAATTTTCATATTTATTCCCCTACATTCAAAGGTGCGACAACTGAATTGTCGACGCTATAGCAAAGTTTGGAAGAGACATTTGTTGAACTATGGTGGAAAAACACTGGAGTTCTCTACCAAGATCACCAGTCCATACTGTATGAATACACATATATACGTTTATTATGTAAATCTAATCATATCTAAATCAAAAGGGATAAATTTGAATGTCTTGATTTTCTCTTAAATTAACACCGAAAGATTGTAAATAGATTAGACATATACTTCCTAAGCTTTAAACGTTAGTCGCCTTCTGTTTTCCTAGCTGAATCCGAAAGCAAACTTTTGTGAAACCTTGGACCGGAGACAATTCGCTAAAACCAAACCAGCTAACCATTATGTCTCTTATTCTTCGTTGACTGACAACTAAATGTTGATTTCTATGATAAAAATCAAAGCGGGTTAGCTGATGCACATTGAATAACTGGGTATTGCTTCCTTCACGTCTTTGTTCTCTTCGGATCTAAATAAGATATTTCATTGGAATTAGGGAAACATAGCCTGTTCACTGCATTAAGTAGAGCGCTTCAGTTGAATGTAAGACTAAGTGCGTTTGATCGTACCAGTAGTTGAGTTTAATTTTTAAAAACCATTATCTGAGAAGCAATTACGGTTTCCAATTAATTTTTCTCTGTTCAGGATTGTTTGTGAGCTCGAAATCTGTGATTGAGCTCATATTGAAATTGTGAGGTTATCACCCTTCGCATCGTTGTCTGTAATAAATACAAACTGACATTATTATTGGGTCCAAACATAAATGGATGCACCAAATGTAAACCTAAATGTGTCCATAAGTAAGACTGTTTCAATCCCCTTATTGTAGATGGTGAACGATCTACCAATTAAGGATGTAATAATCCTTCAGATTTGCTGAAGAACTTGATGAACGATGCAGTGTACGTAGAAATATGTCATATAATAATATGGTCAGTGTTTGGTTGGCAATGAATATATTTTACAGTATGAAAATGTTGCGTACATTTCCGGCTAGACACACCTTATTTACAAAGTTCGATTTCAAACATCTGGTGTGCTAGTTTCTGCGTAGGGGCACAAGAATCTTATGTATGTTCAGTTTAGTTCCCACTTAGTTGTGTGATTCCTAAGATCGTCACAGTATTTAAAGTTTCATCGACACTTTTGGGTTCGTTCATGAGTCCATGGGATTATTGTTTAGGTTGTTATCAGCGCACTTATTTATGCTACCGGAGTAATAGACCTAGTCTACAGTTTTAATTTTTCACTATGTGACTACCCTATATACCCTTTGTATTACATCATCTTCGACATCTGAAGGGAAATACGGAATACAATGGACTTCTCAGAATCAATTAGAGGATTTGGACTTCGCAGATGACCTAGCCCTCCTCTCTCATACACACGAACAAATGCAGATGAAGACCGCAAATGTAGCAGCCGCCTCTGCATCGATAGGCCTCAACATTCACAAAGGAAAAAGCAAGATTCTCAAATGCAACACGGAGAACACCAACCCAATCACACTTGACGGTGAAACTCTGGAAGAGGTGGAAACATTCAAGTACCTGGGGAGCATCGTTGATAAACAAGGAGGATCGGATGCAGATGTAAAGGCGAGGATTGGCAAAGCAAGGGCAGCATTTCTACAATTGAAGAACATATGGAACTCAAAACAACTCTCAACCAATTTCAAGGTCAGAATGTTTAATACGAACGTCAAGACAGTTCTACTGTATGGAGATGAAACGTGGAGAACTACTACGGCCATCATCAGGAAGGTACAAGTATTTATAAACAGTTGTCTACGCAAAATACTCAACATCTATTGGCCGGATACTATCAGCAACAGCGTTTTATGGGAGAGGACAAACCAGCTTCCAGCTGAAAAGGAAATTAGGAAAAAACGTTGGAAGTGGATCGGACATACATTAAGGAAATCACCAATGTGCATCACGACTCAATCCCTAACTTGGAATCCGGAAGGGAAGCGGAAAAGAGGAAGGCCAAAGAACACACTACGCCGGGAAATAGAAGCCTATGTGAAAAGGATGAATAGCAACTGGAAAGAACTGGAAAGGAAGGCTCAGGACAGAGTTGGATGGAGAAAGCTGGTGAGCGTCCTACGCTCCTCGACGAGGGGTAACAGGCGTAAGGAAGTAAATAAGTATTACATCATCTTCTATACCAACCCATATTATAGTGACATTCAGTAATTTGACATTTAGTACTTCTAAATAGTACATTTAGGTTGAGAGACGTTTAATGTGTTTCTGTTGATAAAGAACAAATCACATAGAATGATCACATATGCGTTGCCGAATTATTCTATACCAATTATGTGTTTTGGCGTTTTGTTTTGTGATGTTTGAAAGAATAAAAAGTTGAATTTAGAGCAACAAAAAGAAAAGAAAGTTAAGGTGAGTAAATGATTTGGTAAATATGTCAATGAAATAATAAGAATAAACAGTACCATGTATATTACAAAAAGGAGTAGAAAACTAGTTGTTAATGCAGTAAAATTTGATAGTAATTAAGACTTTTTGCAGTTATAGTTTCGAATGATGTTTTAGCTGTAAATAATTCCCCAAAATCAATAGCACTGTAAGCGTTCGACATTGGATGCTGACCACATTAGTCTTAGTGGACCTGTTTAGCTGAAGGCTTTTGGTCATGCATCCGCACCATATCACGTTACAGCTCAGCGTGGGAAACATATCCTACGTTCATTAGCCAGATTAGATCATCCGCTTCTCGATATATTGATAACGCATCAAGTCTATCTCTCGAACCTCTTCGCTTCTGACTTTTGTTTTTAACTGAGTGAGGGACGATTCGATTATTGAAGGTGTTACTGGTTAATAGTCGTCAAACTACAATACTTATGGTATCTTTAGTGGTGAGACCAACGTGATCTGGTACACCAAACGATAAACTGAGTCTGTTCCTTTTTGGAACTTTATAATTCATTGTTTTGCTTTATTTGAAATTTATATATTGTGGTATTTTTCCTAGTTTTCTGATATATTTTCATTATTTATTTTTCGTTCATTATAATACTTGATTTTTCACTATGACGGAACGGACACCAAAAGTATTTAAGTTAAAGAATATCCCCCCACCCTCGATTCAGTTAATGCCATTCTGGCCGGAAAATATCGAAGCCTGGTTCTGCTACGCAGAAGCCGACTTTTGCATGCACGGCGTTACAGTCTCACGCACACATTTCCTCGTGGTTGTTAAGGCACTACCACGTGAATTTACCAGGTATGTAGCACCTAGTATGTTTACTAGTGATGTTTCGGAACCTTACGAAACGCTAAAACGATCGATTCTGAAACGCGGAGATCTAACCGACCGACAAAGATTAGATTAACTCCTTAATAGTACCGACCTGCATCATGGCTCCGTGACAGATATGTTGCTATGGATGAGAGAGGTGATAGGCCAAAGAACTTTCGACGAAGGCCTATTCAAACAGATCTTCTTATCTAAACTCCCGCAACAGGTGCAAGCAGTTCTCGTCTCATTTCAATACAACGCTGTAGACGAACTGACTGCATCTGCCGACCGCGTCTTAGAAATCATAAAATCTACTATTGCCGAGATTTTTTTCAGATAAATAAAAACCTCAAACGACCCCAAATGACATCACGGAACTATGTCATACACTGACTTGCTACCTTAGATCTCGTAATGACCGTAAAAGTTCATAAACTTCGCGAAGAAGCGTTTTACCTAGGAGATCTGTCTCGAGACCACGAAAGACGGATAACCCCGATTGGTGCTGGTATCATAACTAGTATGAGAAGTCTTCTAGAAACTGAGAAACCCCTGCAGTTATCTGACCTCAAAATCGAATGACACGAAAAACAGTTCGGGAAAATTCCCAGCCGGTACGCGGTAACGGCAACCGTAGCCGACGATCATAGCCGCCTTTTATACGTCACGGACGTGATAACGAGTGTTCGTTACCTCGTCGACACTAGCGCAGAAGTTAGCGTTCTTCCTGCTTATGCTAATGACAGACTTAACGAGTCTGTTTTAAGCTTACAGGCGGCAAATGGAAAACGTACCGCCACATATGGGAAAAGGTATGTCTACCGTAACGTAGGTTTACGCAAACCCATCCACTGCATTTTCGTTGTTGCAGATGTTTCTATGCCAATCATTGGTATAAACCTGTGATTTGTTGCATGGTTTTTGCCTGGAGGTATTGGTGATCCACTGCTACTAGACACGGAAGCCCGTTAAGCGAAAGCTTCTTCTATTCCGTCCTCAACCATTTGAACCATTTGAACACCACAATATACTAATTGATACACGCAAAAAAAGGTTAGTAGACGGAAACACTAATTTATCTGTTTGTGTAACTCCCCTTTCGGGTTGCAGATTATTTCTAGTCACAATTAAGCACACCAGAGCTCCCTTAAATCAACCATTACTCGATAAATAATCCGGGATATATCAACCGCAACCAAAATTGCCGTGTGCAACCAGGAATGTTACACATCACATCTCGACTACAGGACCATCTGTATCCTCGAAAGCACGCCGACTCGCTCCCGAAAAGCTAAGGTTGGCTAAAAACGAACTCGACCACATGATAGAGTTAGGAACCATTCGACCGTCAAATAGCCCATGGTCATCTTTGTGCATGGTCTAACTGGTGATTATAGGCGTCTGAATGCTAACACCATTCCCGATCGTTACCTGCTGCCTCACATTCACGATTTGACAGTTACCTTGGAAGGTACAACTGTCTTTCCAAAAATCGACTTGGTTAAAGCTTATAACCAAATCCCTGTGGCTGATGACGATGTTTCGAAAACCGCTATCATAACTCCTTTCGGGCTCTACGAATTTTTACGAATGCACTTCGGCTTAAGAAATGCTGCTCAAACCTTCCAAAGGTTCATAGACGACATGCGTATGTTGATGACTGTCTGATAGGATGTTTAGATAGAGAATCGCATCTGGACATTGTGT